AAAAGGTTCTCGGTCCGAGATTGTTCTTAGGATACCGATGGGAACAAATCTAAACGTTCGCGACTCTTGCAGCTGGTGGCAAGGAACCCCCAGGTCACACCAACTCCCCTCCCCACATCAGCTGCTGATGCTCAGCATGTGAAAGACCCCCTCTACCCTACCCATAATTCGGTAGTATTTGCGAGGTCGGGGTATTGGCCGGTTCGGATATAGTGTCGGCGTACTGGCTCTCCGAAGGGTTTCCGTTGGGTAGGGATTTTCTGGGGGGTAGAATAATAGCCAAAATGGGGATGGCTGAAAATTTGCATATATCTACTTTTTCTTCGTCTCTGTGCTGTTTGCTTTCTTTTGTATGGTATGGAGCAAGGGCTGGAGTTACTCGGTGGTAGGTTAGATCCCATGCGATCGGGGAAGGGCGGGGGGACCAGGCAGATTTCGACGAAAAGCACAGAACGAGTTTGTCTGGAGTGAGTGTGAAACCGGGGGATATAGATTTTGTCATTACGATACATTGGTGGCCTTGGGTTTTGTTCACGCCATAGGATATTCCTGCATGGGGTATTCTTGTTCCTTGAAACAATGAAACGATGATTTAAAAATAAAAAAAAATACATTGGTGGCCTGTTAAACCCCGGGGGATAAGGAAATTGGGATATGGGAGTCCCTAAAAAAAAACCGGCATCAGAGTTTAGAAACCGTATCGTGATTTCACAGAGAGTATCCGGTCTCGCTCGGGCACCACTTTGGGAACCATAAGTAGGGATCCTTGGTCAATCTCTCCTGTGATCACTTTGCAGTGTGACTGTAGGTGCTTGTATGAAAGAATATAGATAGGTTTGATTGGAGGGTTCTGATCCGCTTCTTCTGAGGAATGTAGGGGGGGGGGTGGGAGCCTGCATACGTTTCCTTACTGCAGGCTTTACCATAAAGGACTTTAAGCTTTTAAAATGCCGGGATATAATTTTACAGTGAGAGTGATTACTGATCCGGATGCTGTAGGAGATGGTGATGTGTGATAGCTGCATCTTGAATCGATCGAATGCCGTAATTGGGAGACTGGTATGGTACAAGGTGATACCTTTGATCCCTCCCTCCCCCAACCCCCGGGTTTGTGGAATCGGCGAAATACCGAGCATGCTGAAATATAACCCCAGGGCCAAGTCTGAGAGTAGGTCGTGCAGCAAGGGAGGGTTGGGTTCTCATAATATTATACGAGCCCCATGTACCGCTATCTGCATATGATATCACTCGCAGAGATACAGGGCAAGCCAAGGGCATATCTATAATACCGGTATCATACCCCATAGTACGTGGAAGTAGGGGGTGTGCAGCACAGCACTAGCACGTTTATAATTGCACGTGGGTCCGAGTGTGTTGTCCAGCACCTTGCTCTATTCCTTGTTGCGTCCCCCTTGTGAAATCAAAGTAAGCAAGGGGACTTTATGAGAATTGTGGTGTTGTTGCCGTACGCTTGGCTTTCGAAAATGGGCCCTTGCGTTTTGGTTGGGAAAACTACCAAGCGGCGGGCGCGCAGGGCATAGCTCTACACTTACCGGCTTGCCTTACACCCCGATACTGGGCTTTGCGGGTGGTAAATCATTGATTGTCACTCGACTGAACTACTAGTTAGTAATATTAATGGCACGGGGGGTAGTTCTGGGTGGGGTAGGAGAGGGGGTCGCAAACAAGTGGACTATGGGTTAAAACATCTGCAAAATCCTCTCTCTTGGATGACTGGCTGGAGATATTTCGAAAATGTTTATCCCTTAAGTTAGCTAGGGTATACTATGGGGGAGAGGCATGAGCGCACTCTTATGATTCTAGAAAAGGCAAGATCAAGGCCCTAGCGTGAGATCAAATTTTTTGAGTTCTTATCTTATGGCGTGATGTGCTTGCCCTGTTGTGCTAGTGTTATCATAACTGTATCCCACCCCCCTTACTTAGGTGGTGGTTGAAGGGGTGGGGGGGTGGGGGGGTGGATCTACAGGGAATATCTGAGATAGCATTTCTTCATTCCGGCCGTGCGAGAACGTGCCATTGAGGATTTAAAGTTGCACGTCTGCACCATTGGCCTCCCTTGGGGTATTGAAAATGTGGGGTGCTTGGTCTTGTGCCGGTGGAATGCGCACCTAGTCGACTAAGGCCCTTTTGCCTAGTATCGCGCAGTAAGCGCAATTAAACAAACCAGCAAACTCTGACCCCGGGCTGAATGCAAGTATTATTTTATCATAGCGTAAAGCAGAAGCTCAGAAAGTGAGTAAGCCCCCGCCACCTACTATGCATAAAACCCTGGCGCAGTCCCCCAAAGCAGTCTGGGCGTTGATCTCGGTATTTCTGAAAATTTCCGGGAGGTCCTACAGAACTGTTTGCGCGTGCTCCCTCAAAATTGCTCTAGTATACTACTCGAGGAGGGGCAAACCGACTATGTCACAACCGGGCTACTCTCTTTCCCCATCTCGGATACGATACCTTGAAAAGCCAACGGATTTTATTCTCACTACCTTGCTTAAGCAAGGGAAGGTCCCGGGGCAAAAAATATCGACAGACCGAATGACAAGAGGGTTGTTCGCCAATGTTTGGCAAATTTTATTCCTTTAATGCCCGCTACATCCGCCCCTGCCCGGCGGGGGCGAACTCTCAGCCTTCCTGTTAACGTTAACTTTAGCGGTAACCGCTCTCTCAAAATTTAGGCCATGGGAACCCATCGGTACGGTTCCGCTTTTTTGCGAATGTACAGTATATCAAATCGTTTCGCCCGATGGCCTTTTTACGCTAAAAAGCATGCATTTTTACCGCCCGCGCTAGCACCATCAATATCTATAAAAGTCTGCCAAAATCTCATGCTACATTATTAAAACCCAGGATAACATATAAAACTTTGCAGAACTCTCAAAACCTATGGGGCAGTGGAGTTAAGATGAGCTAGGTGTGTGGTATGTGGTCACCATGCACCTTTTTCTATGGGGTCCCATACAAAAATTTTAAGCCACTTTTAGGTTTGGTGAGAACATTGTAAGCCATTGACTCAATCTCGCCATTTTTTATTCATGCTTCTATGAGGATGAGACCTGAGTGATTTCCTACCCAATATCAAAATTCCAATTGTTTTTAACAAGGGAGTGGTGGGTGTTGTGGCTCTGGGGGTGTTGATTTTTCGCCATATTTGGTGTAAAAACACCCTCGGACGGAAAGTTTTGGTAGGATACTTTAACGGCGCATCTCTGATTACCCGGGTGCCGGCATGCGGGAAACGAGGTTCGAGGAGGGCTATGACAGCGCATCCACGAGCAAGAGTTCAGCTCTTCAAGTGAAAATATACTGTCTGGCATTCTCTGCATATTGTCCTGAAGTTTGAAGGCCCCCGTATCCCGCATTCAGTAATTAACTAATTCGAGCCTGGGAGAAAGCTGGGGTAACCGTTACTTATCTACTATTTTGCTCCACAGTTTTTGGATATATTTGGCATGATGAAAATCTGGTATTGGAAACAATGAAACTATAGAACAATGAAACTATGATTTTTTTTTAAAAAAAAAGTGTTATTGGAAAAAGAACACCTTCGCTATAGCCCCGTGAGCATTCCGGGGTATGGCAAGTAGAATTCCAAGGAGGCCGTTTCACTGGGGGCTTAACTTATTCACTACGTAATATATTGTTCGGTGCTCATTTTTTTTTTTTACATTGTTGAGTGCTGCATTGGCCATCAGTCGATTCTGAGATTCTGAGCTGGGGGCAGGGATGATATGCAGTCACGTTCCATCACTCGTTTTCCAACACCATCCTCACCAAGTTGCGGGAGGTTGAGCCCACGGAACGGAATGTTGGAGGAAATGCAAAGTACAAGGCTATGTTGAACGGTATAGACAGAGGACAGCACTTTGCTGCCCTTTTTTCTTCCACGGTGCGTGTTTCAGGGACGGTCCCAGCTGCACCCGGGGGTGGGGTCTAGATGCCCTGAACGAAATAAGGTGTATGTATAACCTCCGGGCGCAATCGCAGGGGGAAAAGTTGCCGGAATTTTCTTTTCCAATACGTGAGATTCCACGCGTTAAAAATGCCTAGGGGGTTGTGCATAGGAGTGAAGAAAAGAAAGGGCTTGGGATTTGTTTTGCCTAGGGGCTAGTGTTGGCTCCACAGCCATGGTATCCGGACAGTATAACATATCGGTACCCCGCCACACGCAACGTCCTGGCACTCGGGTGCTATTGGCATCTCCATTCTCCATAATCGGGGGGGGGGGGGAAATGGCGGGTCTGAGGGATACTCTTACGAGCACCATCATGTGTATTACTCGACTTTGGGGGATATCGCTGGTCATTGAAGAGGATCTATGTCGAATTGATAGATATATAGGCAACAGAAATTGTACCCACAATACCGTAGGAGAAATTCTACCTAGAAATTCCTAGTTCGGCACTGGCAACCATTGAGGACTTGTATTTGCTAATTTACGCATCCCAAGCCGCTTGGGGCAGGCCAAAGGGTACGGGAATTTAGTCTCATGTTGCTTTGCGAGCTCTACTTTGACTTCGTCAACATTCGGGAATTAGCTAAACTCTAGGGGAGGGGAGGGTATCGAAGGTGAACGCCCTGCCCTAGGCTAAGGGCATGATATGGGAAATGGGCATAACCTCGTGAAAGAAAAACATCATATTGGGTCAACGGCAACTTGCACCTAGCACACCGCTTGAGTCACTTTTTCTAAGGCTTGGGTCAACGAGAAGAAATATGTGCAGCAGGGGGTGATGAGCGCCAGGCTGTGACGGGTGGGTGACTCGAAGGGGTTGAGTATCACCCGGATATACACCACCGAATGCTTTATCAGACACAGTGCGCTAGCCACTTACAAGAGGGTGAGTGAAGAGGGCCTTACTGTGGGTGAGTATAGGAGCGGTACATATCCTTTTAAGGGGGCTTTATCAGGTGCTTGGTCATTGTTAGCTGACAGTAACTATCCACACTGTTCTTTTTTTTTCTTTTTTTCCTTTTCTTGAGAAAACATGATTAGTTTAAGAGGAGATTGGTGAGGAAAGGGTAAGCGGCCACCCTCCAACCTGGCTTAGTCTTGTCCATACCGGAGAGTTTGTATAGAACTCTGACATTTCAGTTGATACCATCCTGCATATTAGAGGAGGGGAGGCTTTCTTTACCAAAAAGAATAAAAAATACTACAATATTTCCTGAAAACGGCGTAACTTATATGCTATCTCCAGAGATGAATGTGTTCAGAAATGCCAGGCGTTTAATGCGGTATTTTTTTATCAGGAAAACCTCATCTGTTTACTAGAATTCAGGCTCTATTGCAATAATATTATTCTAACAGGTATTGTATAGCACAATTTCAGGAGAGTTTTTTTTTTTCCTTTTGTTTTCACTATCGTATGAACTTGAATGATTGGTACTCACCCTAGGACGTCTGGAATCCCCTCTCTTGGATATATAGGGGGGGGGGCAAAACATCGAAAAATATGACTCCCTGTGCCCCAACTCAAGACAAAAACGGGCTGGACCATTCCAGTCAAGGAAAGCCCAACGTCCTAGCACTGGTAACAGTTATTCGAGTTCTTACGATAATATTATTGAAAAACAAAACAAAACAAAATTCTAGCAAATAAGAATGGAAAAAGGCTGAGTCAGATTTTTTGGGAGATGTTGATGGATTAAAATAGAGTACTAGCAAGAACGAGAAAGGGTATAGTTGAAAACTTGGGCATATCTATGTGCAGTATCATACCGGTAGTATGATATGATCCAAAGAAACCTTTATTTTCCTGCCTTATACCACCTTAAATTCTGTGACACAAAAAAGAAAATACTGTAGTAACATTGAGGAAGGCTGGAGCCTTCGGTCTCCTAGTCCCCATAGGGCAGGGTTTATCATTTCTCTTATCATACCTTGCGTGATGGGGCATTCTGAATCATCATAACTCGAGATGGCATCCCAGCCCACGGACTCCAGCTAATCGCGCAGTGCTTAATTGGCTCTTGACATCTTAACATCTTAACCGCTGTGCCATCTAGGAATCTCACATGACATTACCGTGCCAGGGATAATGGAGGAGATGCATCCTCAGGAGGAGGGACTATCAATATTGATTAATTGCAGCTGATAAGGTAGTTCCTTCGGGCAAAGGAACGATCTTATCCAGACCATGAGTCCTGGAAGGGGTGGATTTGGCTTCGAGAGAAATAGGATTTGGAGGGAGCCATGGGTTATAACTATATGGTTGAAGGCAGACAGGCACAGGCACATTTATAAGTTTATACAAAAAGGGTACAACCATAATACGAGACAATATTTATGGCTCACGATGGTCCCGCTCGCGGCATTGAGCCGGGCTCCCGGGTCGGGCCCATCATACTCGCACAAAAAAAAAGTTTATTGAAGGAAGAGAAACGCGAGGGAAGCCGCCCCACACCACTCCAGCAAACCCGAAGCGTCGCACTCACACCTCTCACGCGGACGAAACAGCTTTCGTGATCGAGGGGCATCACGGTTAATTTGGCCCTTCACGGCCAAAACCAATTCATAGTTCCGGGGGTTTCTTCCTGGAAGTATTCACCGTCCACTAGCATACCAAGTGAGAAATAGTTGGGCAATTCATGGTTCTCACGACAACCAATACCACGGGCAAGCGTACGACCTGGGCAACCCAACCCCTAGAAAGCTCTTAGACGGAACATTACTGTGAGAAGCTGGCGGGTCCAATCTCATGATACTCATCGTATCACCCAACAATACCAAAAAATCATCAGAACAATAGCAATAAGAAAAACAACCCGAGAATCAGGTCTAAATAGCGGGGGAACAAGAGCATACACCATCCATCCATCAACTACACTCCCTTCGCCAGCACGAGGAAGAGAGGAATTATCATCTCAACGGCTAACCGTAATGGTCGTGAATAACTTAGTAAACTATAAAGTTGAAAAGGGAGTGGTTTTCTTCCTCCCCCCCTCACTTCACCCACTGGAAACATGATCGGATGGAGGAACCAAGTGCGCGAGTAGGCAAGAGAGTACCGTAGTAGGGAAGCGACAAAAAGCAAAACAGGAAACGGACAAAAAACAGGATATATGTGCAGAAGAGTAATAGGTGGGAACGAAGGAATAGATCTCGGTAGAGTACAAGACAAGCAAGTGGGATTTAAAATAGATACTACTGGACAGGAAGATGAAATGAAAGTGAGAAAATAGAAAATTGAGAAAGACACGCTACTCCAAATCCATGCATAAAGATAGCAACAAATAATTAATTAGCCCCCGCCAACCCTTTTCTGTCTCCCGTTTCCCCCTTTTATTTACCTTGTTAGGAAAAGAAAAAGATGGCATTCGTGGAAAAACAGCCCTTACTGAAAGCAATCAATGTTCACAAGCAATCATGAAACCCACACCGAGAACTTAAACGAAATTACAAGTTTCCTCCAAGAATTGCCTCCGTAGCTGTGAAAGTGTGGTTAGTATAGGACAAACATGTAAGGACAGAATGATAGGAGGGGAAAACATACCAGAATTGATATAGGCTCGCTTGGCATCTAATCCCATTCCAAACTTCCTTTCTAATTCCGCCTTGATACTCTTTTTCGTCACGGTCATCAAGTCAGCCGTCCTCAAGATCTCCCGTATCTCTGCTAGTATCGCGTCGTCATTAGGTAGCTCAATCGTAGACATCTCTAGCTCAGCCCCACCCATGCCTCCTCCACCGAAGAAAGTAGACCCCCGTTGAGAAACCATTTCCGAGGGTGCTATGCTCATGCGGCTTTGGTTGCGCGGCAACGGCACGTCAAGCTGGGACATCGGTCTGCTGTGCGCTGCATATCCACCCCATTCCGACTGAGCTGGTGCATAAGACTTAGTCCCATAAGAGTATCCAGAAACCTCGGAACGGGTGTCATCGTGGCCGCGGAGGGTCTGGGCTTCCCAAAGCTCTGCTTGGTACTCCTCCCACTTCTTGCGAGGGATACTGGTGGGATCGAATTTGCCCTCATCAGAAATGACAATCTTCTGCCCTTTTTCGCCAGTGACGATACGAGTGTTACCCCACGAGAAATCATCCATGTTCCAGAAGGAGTATAGAGGGAGAGCAAAACTGAAGACAGGAATGGCGAGGATATAGATAACCATCCATCCGATCATCTCCCACTTTCTCCTCAAAATGAAAATGATAGCCTGTAGACCGTAAATGGCTCCGAGAAGGACAAAGGCCATCATGGGAATGACAGAGGAGCTTGTGGCCACTTGATAGATGAGATAAGCGATGTAACCGACAGTGACTGGTTGGATGATCGTTGATAGCAAATCCAAGAAGACGATAAATCTCATGGAGAAACAGCAGAAACCACACAGCTGTTGCATAGGCATCAGTTCCATCAAGTTGTGAAGGGTTGAATTAATCCATCGACGACGCTGCGACATAAACACACTCCACGAATCGGGAGCGATAGTCCAGGCATGGGCATTGAAAATGTATTTGGTCTTGTACTTCTGGTGATGCTTGAGGAGTAAGGTTGTCAGATAACGATCTTCTCCAAGATGCAAAAGATTCTTCATATGAAGGGTATCCACGCGAATTTCCGAGTAAGCCTCAACAATTTCCTTACTGACAAAGAGTGGCTTGCCGCTCTCTGCAGCTCGAACGCGGTACATGGTGAAACAACCGGGGAGGCAAGTGACACTGCCAAACAAGCTCTCAAATGCCTTGGCCAAATTGTGTGAAATATAGTACTCGTAAACTTGAATCATAGTGATGAACGAGTGTTTGGCGTTGGTAAGCGCGGTCTCGCCGCAAAGCGCGACGATTCTCGTGTCCGCTAAGAATGCGGCAACCATACGAGTAGCAGAATCGGGAGCAACAATAGTATCTAATTGACCCATTAGTCAACCAAAATCGAGAGGTGAATATGGGTGCCAAATTAGCAACATACCGGCATCAATTTGGAGCATAAACTCATAAAAAGTGGGATTCACTCCAATAATGTTTCGGATTTGGTGATGCATTTCCAGCTCCAGAGGGCTCATGGGAAGGTTGTAATGGATACGGTTTAAGAATCTCATCATGACCATCTGGGAATCACGCTTTCCTCTGTTGCCTGGCCGAGAAACTTCCGAAGGCTTTCCAACCTTGACAACAACCAAGAATGGCACGATATGCCCCTGAACTTCATACAACCCGGAGTAGACTTTGCCCATGTTGTGTTGCTTCTGGCCCTCGCCCAAAGACTCAAAGGAAAGTGGCTCGGGGTCGACACTATCGGAGACACCCAAGATGTCCAATACAATCCTCGGAGTGGGTCTGTCATTTCCTTGACCAATAATCATACCATCACAAATGACAACTAAGAGCTTGCGCTTATCATCATACTTCATTCTAGCAATCGAGTCGATAGCGCGACGGAGAGACTCCTCGTCCTCGGTATAGGCGGGGACTTGACAAATGATGAATTTATCGAGGTTCTCAGGCATGTTCTTGCGGCCGAATTGAAGTGCAGCCAAAAATTTGAAAGCGATGACCGAACACATCAGAACGGAGACACCGAGAAGCAGGTACTGCGCGAAAAGACATTGCGGAGAGTTACGGGTGTCAACTTTTCCGACATAGAACAGGTTGTCAAGACAGACTTTCATGCGATGCTTCCTATCCGCAGCTATATTCAGAATGTTCCAATATTTGGTGATATCTTGCCCCGAGCGTTGGGTAAACAAATCAACAACCATAGTGTCCATAAAATTGACGTCGATTTTGGTCGTATCAATACCGTCTCGGTTGTAAGGAAGATCGAGCCGTCTCCCACCGACGGCATAATCGGTAAGATCATAAACACGGTCGCCGAGGATGGCTATAGCCTGACTCTTTTTAGTCGCCAGAGTCTTGACATACTTTTGCGAGTATCCCATGTCACCCTTTCTGTAATTTGCCTTAAGAAGCATCATCTGCTCAAAGAACCAATCGGGGCGGGAGTCATTGGTATATGCCCTGAAGTCATGATAGCGAGCATTCTTGTCGAGCCCTCTGTCGGCAGTCGCATTGGTGCCCTGGAAGTCGAGGGCTACATATGGACTGACCGTTCCTTCAACACCATTACAAAGAGCTGACACTTGTACCGGAAACAAGGAAGTCGCATCTCTGCCCCCATAGGCCAAAATGTTCTTCTTCGGGACTAGCTGTGGGTAGTGTGAGGGTGTATACTCGGTGAGATCAAAAACCACGCCACGGATAGCAACATATGCGGTTTTTTGCATGTGGTCTTTACCCCCATCGTGATCCGCAAGTTCCTCAAGAGTGAAGACATTTTGCCTGGGGCAAATCAATACCGGGAACCAAACTGCAAACCCAGATCAGCCAATTGCCCAATCGCGCACGCGTACCAGTATCAGGCTTACCAAGGAAGAAGATCGATAGACCACACAGGAACCAAATCATAAAGTTGATAGCGAGCTTCTCCCGCCACGCAATCTGGATGTCCTTTCGCTTCATCCCTCCAATCCAGCGAATAAGGAAATCGGGAATAAACCATGTAATAGCCCATACACCAAACATCCATCGCTTACGGCCTGCTGTAACTGGTAACTCTTCGATCTCCTGTTCCCTAGCAGCCTGGCCCTTTTCCGCCATCTGCTGCCGGGTGTCGAAGTTCCTGAACATATCACCGGAATGAAAGGCAGATGCAGCCGCTTCGGATCGCGCGTCGTCCGCCTTAGAGAAATAAGCTCCTTTCCCATCACCAGTACCGTAGATATGTGTTCCCAGCCCCCCCGGGCCGGTAGCACCATGACTAGGGATTAGCTTTACCTGTGAATCAGATCCTCCGAACAGACCTCCACCGCGACCACCAGGTTCGCCAACAGGTGTGAGTGGGTTGCTTTGGTCATCTGAATCTAAAAAACCGGTGCCAATCATTGACCTCCTAGCGGCACTACCCCCTTCCCCGATATTGGCAATCTCAAGCCAACACTTCTCACTGAGGAAGATACCGGTGGCTCCAACTCTTGCCTCATTCATGGGCCAGTTCTTCTCCTCAACGACGAACTCAGTCTTCTCCCTTTCGCTACCAACGATAATGCTCTCAGCCTCCGTAAGGCCCAAGAACTCTCCGAAGGGTAAGAAGACGGAAAAGTCGGCATTCCGAACCCTCTGCGAGATTTCCGCGATGCCAAATGTCCGGATTTGAGTACGGACGCACTTTGAATCGAATTGGTTGGCAATCCTTCGGTCATTGGGCTTGAGACAGAAAACAAAGTAAGGATTGGTATTTGTTCCACTAAGGGATCGTGTTACTGTGTCCAGGGCGCTAACAAATTGAGCTGCCGCACCTTGGTCAGGGGAGCTAACGGTATTGATCTCAGTGGTGGCGTCGAGAGCTGGGCCCCTAGTGTCGCCGGCAGCTCCACGCACTGGCCGCTCGCCCCTCTTGCGCATCACGCTCGGCATACGCAAAGGCTTTGACGCAATTTGACCCTGCATAATGGCAGTCTTTTCCCGTGGGTGGTGAACGGTGGTAACAGCCTTGCTGCTGAACAACTCTGTAATAAATGTGCTAGTTGTTCCGCGGAACAGATTCATAAGATCACCGGAAATAATTTCGCCATTTTCCTCCAAGAGACCACTCGCTGGGTATTCTACCTCTCCGGCGAAATGTTTGATGGTAAAACTTCTAGCGGCACCTGGAACAACGGATGCACCAGATCCGACGGTAATGGCAGAGTTATTCTTTGAGTCGAATCGCTTCTTCAAGCTCTCCAAAAACTGGGCATCGGTTTTCCCGCGTTTCGTTTGATCGTCAAGAATGCTAAGCAATCCATTTCCGTGTTTCAAAATACCGCGAACAGCATCGGAATTGTCGAAGTAGCTAGTAGCCGAGACGCCGACCTCTTCACTCTCAAGTAGCTCCGCTCGCCGGTCGAAAAATGTTTGAAGGCAAAAGTTGTACAGACCTTCAGTGGCAGCGTTGTTAAGCAATTGGTCCAGGGTACTGCCGGTGGCGGAAACTTGTGTGAAGCCTGGAAAATCGATGATGGAGATTGTGTTGGCGACTGCGTCTTCAACAGCACAGATGCGTTCATTGGCAGATTCGATTATCCATGTGACCAGTAGTGAGTATAGGGTTCTTGCCAGCTCGTCCGCATGAGCTCTAGCTCCTCTAGCGTCGAGCAGGACCGTTACCCTTTCCCGATTCAACGTCTTCGTCTTGTAGCTCAAACAATTTTCCAAAGCCTCCGTGCTGACACCCAAGAATGCCGAAATGACTCCGAGCACATCCTTGTTCCTGACACTCACAATCTGGTCGCCCCCCTCCATGGCACCGGATTCTTCTCCGTTTGCCTGCGTTGTGTGACCATTGACGAAATCTAATTGACCGATGTGCAGAATAGTAGCAAGAAGTTGACAAATCTCGGCAATTTCTTGTCGAGGAAATTCCAACTTCCTGAGCGCCGTCTTAAAATGCTGGAAGCCTTCAGCGTCATTGATACCAACCTTCAGCTGTGTCGGATGCCCTAGATAACGCCATCTCTTCTGGCCTCCACGGCCCGACAGATCACCGCTATGCCTATGGCTTGACGCGGTGGCAGAATTGTTGAGCCCCAAGTGAGCTTTTTCAGCATCGGAAGTTCCGGCAAGCAGGTAATAGAGGATGTGGAAATTTCTCTCCCCGGTAGGCACACCGGCGACACGGGAACGCTCCAAACGATGGTCCAAAAGTTTCCCACCAATAAGCGTTTGGGAGATGTTATCGTACTGAAGCTCCAGGAACAAGCCGGCCTTAGATGCGGTGGGAGTGGTGAGGGATTTAGTCGTTGTAAGAGAGTCGAAGAGAAAGGTGAATAATGATATTTTCTGTGAGAGGGGAGTCGAGGTGAAGGACAAGACATGGGAGAGTAAATGGGATCGAAGTGTTGTTTTTCCGGAGCCAGATTCACCTCTATGAGTTTGTTAGCAATGCCGAATGGAGATACGGTCCGTGAAACCCTTCTATTTTTTTATTTTTACCCAACAACCAGGAATTCCACTACAGACCACAGGGAAGGAAAGCGAGGACTCACAAGAAGATGACCGCCTGATTCTCGCCTCGGCCACCCAACCGCCTCCACATTCGCCCGGCAATCGCCTCCAACTCGCTACTCGCAGCATTGGGGGAAGTGTAAGTGTTCAGAGAAACAAGAGCTTGTGAGCTGATATTGGCCGTGGGCAATGATAGATGAAAACGAGACGCCAAGTGAGCAGTAATGTGAGTGTCAGACTGCAAATGTGCCGGCAATGAAGGTAACGATGGCTGGGACTGCGGCGTCTGTTGTGCCATGATGTTTATCACGTCGAGGGGGATGGGAGACCCCCGAGCAACAGGCTGATCAAGGGATCACCGAAGCAAGTCCACGAAGGAGCGGTAAACACGAGTAGATGGAAAACGAATGTGCGGCCGCTAGGGGGAGTTTGAGGGGTACGAGGAACAGGTAGTGAGGATTAGGGGGCTGAACGATGGAATGGATCGTTTTCGTTGTCGTGATTGTGAGGACGAGGAAAACAATACCAAGCAGCGTGGGGAACGACGGAAAAAAGAGGGCGAGAATGCGGAATGCAAGCGAGCGTATGAAAGGCCGAAGGGGCAGGAACAGAAACGAGGGTGTAGGTAACAAGGGGGAGGAACCCGCACGCAGCTCAGTGGAGGGAAAGGCAGGAGGGATGGTGGTTAGAGGGAAGGGGGAGTGCGGTGGGGAGAGGAAGGGAACGAACGAGATTGGCTGGTCTGCCGTCCGTTTGTGGGTCTTTTGGTACTTATCGGGAGGCATTCCTAGCAGCACTACTTACTCAGTACTGCAATCTATGCCGCAGTGCAAGCAACTGATTGGACAGGGGACATGTTTTCCTCTTTCTCCTCCACCTTCTTCAGTTGTTTTTCGTTTTGTTTTGTTTTATTTATTTCTATATACCTATGATAATATTATATCGTTTTTGTACTCGAGTACAAGTACTCGCACTTTGTGTACGGGTAATCGTTTTTAGCCCCCTCCCGAGTCAAAGATGCCCAATTGCGCGCAGCATTGTATTCCGCTCAGCTCCCATTCTTCCGAGAACCTCTCTCGCCTCCATTCTTCTTCCCGGTGGGCGAAACTCCGCAAGAGAAGGTGTGTTGTGTCGATGGGCCAGCGGACAATCGTATCGGACTTATACCTACTGCAACAGTGCAAGTGCCGCTCAGAGCATTACAACACTTTCTCCTCAGGTTCCCCTGGCAACCCTCCCCTATTTCGATCTACCGGTACCTGCCGTATCAGAGCTTGCCACTCCTTCCTCCTTTCTCCTTTCTTTCCCTCCACCACACTTCAAGGCCCGGTTACTCCTGCATCGTCTGGACCGTGATACTTGTACCGTACGAGAAGGGTGAGTGGGAGATATTTCTAGAGATCCGCTCACTCCCCTCCCTCCGCCCCTTGCCCCCCCCCTTCCTGCTTCCCTCATACTCGTGATACTTGTGCCAGGTTTGGCACTTGCACCATTACCGACAGCACTCGAGTACTCGTACATATCGAGCATCCCCTCCCTCAATCCTACTCGAGTAAATAAATACCCACGACACCACACTGTCCTGCCCCCCCGCCTCATTGACACAGGTTGATCGCAGTAGCTACCCGGTGCTTGCCGGAATTGATAGCTCAGAAGTTTCCTCTTCCTTATTCTTACCCCCGTCAGCTTTCGCCCAGCATTGTCTTCCGTCATTACCGCAAGTGCAAATCTCTCCCTCTACCCAGCAGCAGTAACGGGATCCACAATGCTACGACTGGCCACAGTTGTGGCGAAGAGTGTTCAGCACCAGATAGTACCGACCCAAAAATAGGGGTCATAAGCTTACCAGTTATTGCTTTATGAGGTAGACTACCGTACTGTACTGTACGCATGATTGCCATGTCTCGCCCGCTTTTAAAGCATCGTTAGGGTACCGGTACGGTACCGTGCCTCCTTTTTTTTTTATGCGTGTGCCGTTTTTCAAGCGGGACATGTATCGAATCTTGAGCTTCCGCCCTCCGCACGGCCACTCGAAGGGTGTGCAACACACCCGGAAGAGACAGGGGTAGTCGCCTGATTGGGTAAAGATCGTTAGCTCGGTTCAATTTATTCGTCATCCGGAAGCTTGTAAAGTTATGTTTAGAACAACTAGTACTTGTGGCGTGCCGGTAATACTCGAGTACAGTACTCTACTCAGTACAGTAAGGCAGGAGCATGAAACCTTGGCAGCCACTTGTGAATAAGGTATTGTTTTTCCCTTTTCTCCCTTTGCCCTTGTTTTGATCACCTCTTGTGGTATGCCCGGCGGCAGAATCCTTATGCAGCCTGCTGGAATGGAGTGCTTTGGTCGCGACGTGTTTCTTACTCGTACCGTAAGTTCTGGTTGAGGGAAAGGATTACGAGCAGCGCAGTAGAAAAATAGAATACTTGCTAGATCAACTGATCGGAGCTGAAGGACGGCAAATAGAATGGCCGAGTTTGACTTTTCGATCACTCATTGGCCAGCCTTCTGGTTCCACGGCGGAATGGGTTGTCCCCTTACCACATCAGTCAGTGTGGAATAATAATGATTATGTGCAGTGCTCGTGCTTGCATCGTTTGAATTTCGCCGGGTTGGTTGCCCAGGGTGACAGCCGGTCCTCCCTAGCCGGGCTTTGGGAACATGGGGCTGCCTCCCACGGAAAAAGTCACCCAAGCGGTGGATTTGCCTGTTTTAAGCCAAAGTGAACAAGTATTAGCGTGGGAAACAGGAGGAATCCCACACCACCCGGACAAAACAAGACAGACACAGCCAGAGGAACGGGATCAGGGGAGCGGAAGTGAGAGAGGAGTGGAGGAGGAGGTTAGAAAAAAAAAAAAAGACGCTCCGCATTCACTATTCTCGCTCGCCCTTCCAAACCCTTTTTCCTCGTTCAACAAAGAACCCTTTTTTTTTTTGTTTGTCGACATCTATTCACATTCGTTAATCCACAGTTCGCTACTCCGGCAAAGCTTGTCTCCCTCGCTTCCTCGATCGTGTACCCGTTTTGGTCTTTGGTCTTTGGGGAAAAAGGGGAAAAGGGGAAAGGGGGAAAAAGACCTCGGGCAACTCCCATTCTGTCCTACGGTGGGCCGCAATCGCGATAACCAACCCCCCCGGTTAGAGCATAATAATCTTCAACCTTTGTGCTCTTCTGCCAAACACCCCAAACTGGGCTCCTGCACCCGTTCACTCGCTTGGATTTTGGGGGCTCTGTCATTGGTTTTTTTTTGTTTTGTTTTGTTTTTCTTTTTCTATTTGTTGACCTCGTTGGCTCTGCCCGTACACACCCGCCCACCCACGTACACCGAAAGTGCGGCAGTCGACCAGTGTGTCCCCCCGTGTAATTAATTGATCGGCCAAGAGGCAACGAACCTCGACATAGAAGGGACTGCTCTCGGTAAGGCTACCTACCCATCCATCTTGTTACTGATTCATCTTGTTGCCTCCTTCAACTCTATCTTTCTACATGCACGCTTAATTAACAGGACGTTCACAGTACTGTTCATTCAGCATGTCGTTCTCTAATCGGCATTCGATATATTCTACTACCTCAGCATCACCTTATGGTGGTAATGCTGCACAAACTTCTGGAACCGTCACGACTTCTTCCCTGCTTTCTGCTCTTCACAATGCCTACCAATCCGGTATTCCTCATGCTCTCGATGCGAGCACGGTTTTGGTTGTCAATTCGAGCAATAGTGGTGGGACAGGAGGTTTCGGCACCGGTGTAATTGACGAGACACTTGGAACGAGAGCTTGGGAACACGCCAGACGACGAGCAGAGGACCAGACAATCCTCCTGGGGTATGCTTCCATCTCCCCATCCCATCGTTTGATTTCAGCTGTTTGGCCCTCCTGCACTGGCTTCGGTACTGGGGGATGGTTTACTAACTTCGTTTTTCGCAGATCTCTCCATTCAAACGCCCCCTCCCTGCTTCTGCCACTTCTTGGAACTCTCCCATCGCCCCCCGACATCTTGAATACATCTCTTGCGTTGGTATCTGCGTTCACTTCATGCCTGACACCTTCCTCTCCCTTCCCCGTTCCTTATCACAACGGACTTGCCGTTACCCTGCAAATATCTCTCTCTGGATCCATTACCGGTGCCCATATTTCCGTTTCGGCTGCTGGCCTCGACACCCAAAACGGCCTCCTTCGAATCCCAGCTCAGGCGGGGTATCGGGCGTTCGATGTTTTCTATTACCTGCTTTCGGCAGCATCGACCCCAGCCGAGAGGCAAGGCCTAGGCCTGCAATCAGCTGAGAAGTATTCTTTGTTGGCCAGAAGCGGCACATATTCTCTTCCTAGCTACCTCCCAACTGCGGATGATTCTGCGGCCGCAGAGGATTGGAGGGCCAACCTCAGGGCGGTCGGGATCAAGGGAAGCCTTCTTCGGGGGCTGCTCTCGGCTCTTGCTGGGATCTTAAAGCTCGGTAATGCACTTGGCTTATTAGTCGATGAGGAGATTATTGAAGAAGTATGCGAAGATGTTTCAGGACTCCTGGGTATTGAGCCGGAGATACTGGCTAAAAAGGTTGGTGATGGGGAGAGAGAACTATTCATTGCGGTTGTCTACGAGGCCATTGTCGAATGGATCGTGGCGAGGGCAAACGAGGCCATCGCGGCAGACTTTGCGGCTAGGAAGGAAGCTGAGTCGAGCTCCGAAGATAGCCAGGAAGGTGATACCGTACAAATAACCGTTCTCGAGTTACCAAATGAAAAAATGGCCAAGGCTCTGTGCCTCAAAGGTGTCTTTGACGACGAGGGCGGTCTCAACGTGGAGATGAAACTGGACGGCGTCGAGATACCGAGCGTTAGCGGGACTGTCCACCGAGAAATGAAGGGCTCGTGGGCCGAGGCCGAAAAGGAGGGATTAGTGGGCAATAGCCGGGAGAGCGAGTATGAGAGGGACCGGCGGGAAAGTGTCGTTGAGAAGACTGGCCGGGATGCCGAGGAAGGTGGGTTTTTGAAAGAATTGCTATTCCCTGGCGAATTTGGTCGATCCCCAGGGGCTGTGAAGTTTGAAACAACCCAACTACTCGCCGCTAGTAGAGTTTGGTGGCATTTATCACTCTTCCCGTCGGATGGTATCCCATCCGGTCTTCAGCCGGCTCCCTGGTCCGCTTCTGCAGTTAGTAGGCAACTGAGGAGTTGGAGACTGCCAGAATGGGCCAATCGTCGAACAAAGCATCTTGACTTCACCGCCGACTTTGATTTCGACGAATTTGCTGTTCGATACTCTCCCTTGGGTTGCACAAGCGGTAGAGATGGGGTTGAGAGCTGGGTCATTGAGAGAGGATGGAGCAACGGGGAGGTAGTTGTTGGGCGGGAGAGGGTATGGATGAGGGAGGGGAGCTGGTGGGAAGCAGAGAACATGCTTGATTTGAAGCAGCCGGGGGTCCCACCGAGTATGATGGGAATGAACGCCGGGCCTATGGAAGCCGGCTATACTCATAACACCAACGGAAGTAGTTACTTTGGACCAATAGGAGGAATGGGAGTGAGCCCACCTGGCTCGACCTCCCAGCTTTTGCAAAACCAGGGCAGCGCGGGAGGCAGAGGACTTCTTGGAAGTTCTCCTCTTGGCCACAATCAGGACAGTTCTGAGCAGGGAGCGCTTTTATCCAAAGACGAGCAAGAACATTATGCTAGGAAACTTGACCTAGAAACGGCCGGTGGGGCCAAGCACGTTGAAAGTGTCCCTACGTCGAAAACCCGGAAAATATGGGTTGCCGTGGTGTGGGCAATGACTTGGTGGATTCCTAGCCTTTCCCTCCGATTCGTTGGTAGAATGAAGAGACCAGATGTCCGAATGGCTTGGAGAGAAAAATTTGTTCTTTTCTTCCTTATCTTCGTCTTGAACGCTGCAATCGTCTTCTGGATTGCCTTTTTCGCTAAACTTCTTTGTCCGGACTACGATAGAGCTTGGAACCAGGGGGAGGTCCGGTATCATCAAGGAGAGAACGATTTCTGGGTCAGTATTCATGGCCATGTATACGATGTCACCTCTTTCTGGACCCTCCAACACAGCGATTCCAATATCAAGACTACTAGGGAAAATATGATTGATTTTGCTGGCTTGGACCTCTCCCCGTACTTCCCACCTCCAATTAACCTTGGATGCTCGGACTTCGTACAGTCCAATTTGATCAACATGCAATATAACGACACCTCTGCTCAACGGCTCGTTGTTGGTGTTCATGCTTCGGGTCCGAGGAATGCCCAGGATCCCACCTCCAAGCTCCATTCCGCTGATTGGTACTCCCAGACCTTTCTTCCAAGGATTAAGGAGTACCGGAAGGGCGACCTCGTCTGGGATCGCAAGACGATCAAGAAGGATGGCGTAGCATTTAATAAGCCTTGGGGAATTATCGACGGAAGGGTCTATGATCTCACGGATTACCTCTATACCGCCGACCAGAACCCTAACTCTGGCGCTGCCAATGTCCCCAACTACAACTATCTTGGATCGGCCCTCGAAGACATCTTCAAGAACAACCCGGGCTCCGATCTCACCAAGCAGTTCCGCGAGCAATTGAACTCCACTGCTCAGGCCCAGACCCTCAGATGCCTCAATAACCTCTTTTACATTGGCAAAACCGATTTCAGGAAAACTGCTAAATGTCAGGTCAACAGTTACATTCTTCCTGCATTTGCTGGTATCATTTCCGCCGTTATCCTTGCCAAGTTCTTGGCTGCTCTTCAGCTTGGATCTAAGCGTCGTCCCGCTATGCAAGATAAGTTTGTTATCTGCCAGGTTCCTGCCTATACAGAGGGTGAAGACCAACTCCGCAAGGCCCTTGATTCTTTGACTGCGCTGAACTACGACAATAAGAGAAAGTTGCTTTGTGTTGTCTGCGATGGTATGATTGTTGGGGGAGGCAACGATAGGCCTACACCTAACATTATCCTTGACATCCTTGGCGTTGACCCCAAGATTGATCCCCCTGCCCTTCCGTTCAAGAGCGTTGGGGAAGGAAGTGCTCAGCTCAACTACGGAAAGGTCTACTCTGGCCTCTATGAGTACGAAGGGTGTGTCGTTCCTTATGTGGTTGTCGTTAAGGTCGGGAAGCCATCTGAGCACGGGAAGTCGAAGCCCGGTAATCGCGGCAAACGTGATTCTCAAGTCCTCCTTCTGGATTTCCTTAACCGTGTTCACCACCGTACCCCCATGTCCCCTCTTCAGCTAGAAATGTTCCACCAAATCAACAATATCATTGGTGTTGATCCCGAGCTCTACGAATACCTTCTCATGGTTGACGCCGATACTAGCGTCAAGGAGGATTCTCTGAACAGGCTCGTGGCTGCATGCGCGAATGATGGTAAGATCGCGGGTATTTGTGGGGAGACTAGTTTAGAAAACGAGGAACGCAGTTGGTGGACTATGATCCAAGTTTACGAATACTATATCTCTCATCATCTTGCCAAAGCTTTTGAGAGCTTGTTCGCTTCCGTCACTTGTTTGCCTGGTTGGTAAGTACAGTTTGGCCCCTGTTGGGAGGAGAGCTAGGCTGATCATTTTAGTTTCTGCATGTATCGTTTGCGCACTCCTGACAAGGGCCGTCCGCTTATCATATCCAACAAGGTCATTGACGAGTACTCAGATGGCAATGTCGATACTCTGCATAAGAAGAATTTGCTGTCTCTTGGAGAAGATCGTTACCTTACCACCCTTATGACCAAGCACTTTCCCTACATGAGCTACAAGTTTGTCCCCGATGCTTTTGCACACACCGCTGCTCCTGAAACCTGGAGTGTTTTGCTCTCCCAGAGACGTCGTTGGATCAACTCGACCATTCACAACTTGTTCGAACTGTTTTTCCTTAAGGAGATGTGCGGATTCTGCTTCTTCTCTATGAGATTTGTCGTGTTCCTGGACTTGATGGGAACTATTATCCTTCCGGCTACCTGTGTCTACTTCGGTTTCCTCATCTATGTGATTGCAAGCAAGACAGGCCCTATGCCGATTCTCTCGCTGGTCATGATTGCAGTTGTATATGGTCTCCAGGCAATCATCTTCATCATAAAGCGGCAGTGGCAGCATGTTGGTTGGATGGTCATCTACATCTTGGCATTCCCGATCTACTCTTTTATCCTTCCTGTCTACTCTTTCTGGGCCCAGGATGACTTCTCGTGGGGTAACACGCGTATCGTAATTGGCGAAAGTGGGGATAAGAAGATCGTGGCAACTGAAGACGAAGGCTTCGATCCCACGAGCATCCCTCTTCAGACTTGGGATGATTATGCAGCTCAAAACTCTCTTCCCGGGCGTCGTGGCGGTGCACCTGAGAAGTTTTCTAGCGGATATGAGGATGGTGTTGAGCTTGATGACATTCAATCGACATACTCCTCCGTCAAGCCTGCCTCCACCATTCTTACTGGTCTGCCTCAGATGCGCAGTGCTCATCCCTACATGCCTCCTCAATCGCCAGCCTTCCAGAACAATAGACAATCTACTTACTCGGCTTATACCAACTTCACCGCTCATCCGGGTGATCATAATCAGCACCAACGCCTCATGTCTATGGGCGGTATGAGCAACCGGGATTACTGGCAGGATGGCCATGGAAACCGTGGCACCATGAGCGCCGGATTGCCGAGCCCTGATAACTTGCTGGCTACGCATACCCCGCCTAGAGCCACTAGTCGTAGTCCTCTTGAATTTGGTAGTAGGCCGGTTAGTCAAATAGATTTTATGAGAGCCGGGGGAGGACCAGATGACGAGTTGATTGTTGATGCAATTAGAGCAGTCCTCAGAGAGGTGGATTTGGAGACTGTGACAAAGAAGCAAGGTGCGTTTTGAGCCCATCTCCGCATGTAAGTTGTTTCGAAGACTGACATTGTGCAATTCAGTGAGAGCATTGGTCGAACAGAGGCTACAGACCGAGTGCCAAGGAGAGAGGCGAACCTTCCTCGACCGACAAATCGATACTGAGCTCGCAAACATGCCAATGTAGATAAAGGCCGGTTAGCTTTCGGTCACGTCTTTCGTTTCTTGGGGGAGGTTGTTTTTGTTTTTGCCATCCGTTTTTGCCATTCTTTTCTCATGTATAATTGCAGTGGAAGTTTCGCCGCTATCACTGTTTATGGCTCGTTACAAGGAGGGCCCTGGGATGTGGGGTGGGGGTGTAGGCGGGTGGATGGAAGTATGAGACAGGGCAGTAATGGAAGTCGAAGGGTGGCGCAGTGATTTAGGGGTTGTATTTTCTTGTGGGAAGTAGTTGTTTTTGCATAAAAAGGGAAAAGGGGGGCGGAACAAGGGTACCGGAAGGCCGAAATCATGGAGTTGTCTTTTTCTTTTCTTTTCCTCTCATACCCTGTTTTTTTTTCACATTATTTTACATGATATCCTTATTTAGTTTACGTTCGTTTGTTTCTCTTATCTCCACATGTTGTAGCCAAGATGTCTTCCTGTTTATCCGTCTTTTGTTTTGGGTTCGCCGAGCCTAGTGTCGTTCGCCCGCCAACGCGAAAAAAGGTCACACTTTGCTACCATCTGATGGTTGCTGCCGCACTGTCACGTCGGTCTATCCTCCCTCTCTTTGTCCAGCTTTGTAATACAAGTAAAACCACGTCTGAACCTATCCCCCCGCTCATTTTTGTACGGTAGGTTATTCTCTCTACTCAGCTCTGCCTGTCTCGGCTTTCCGGTTCCGGAATCACATGGCGAAAGGTCACCCCACCGCCACACCGCACGGCAGCGCCGACTCAATGCGGCTGATGAAAGTGTGGCTCTATTCACCTAGACTGCCAATACCACACTCCACTCGATGACGGAGTGCAAATCCTGTAGATGGGGGCTTCCTCGCCCGGGGGTGGAGTACCGAAGTGCTGGGTCGAGATCTGGTGTTGGAATGCGCGCACCGGACCCGCAAGTGCCAGTTCAATCTCGAGAGTGAGATCTCGGGGGCTTTAAATAGCCGGGTGGCGCTTTTTAAGCTTTGGGCTGGGTCTGAGTCTGCGCATTAGAGGGGGTGGGGAGGGGCTGAATTGAGGTGGGGGGAAAGACATGTCTTATAACAATATCTGTCGTGGGGGGGTTTTAGGGTTACACTTTTGAGGTCTTGTGGTGCCGGTCTTTCCGGAGTGTAAATATGTTCGTGGTTGTCTTGTGAGGTGCGGTATGGTGCGAGCTGTGGTGGCACTATAGTACTGTGCAGTATCGGTATCATACGGTATGTGAAAGTGCGGTTGCCCTGCGTGATGTGGTACTCGTACCGGACTGTCCTTGTACTAATACCAACACAGCCACCTGCCACCATTCCCCCGTCCCGTAAGGCTCGTACCCGTGTTTGCAGTCTGTGGCACTACAATTATTATTATTATTATTATTATTATTATTATTAACTTACCGTATTATCATTATTATAGTACAGCGAGCTAAGCGATCGTGAACAACATGCTGATACCGCTACGAGTATCAGGTGTCCGCACCATATGGGGGTTTGTTTTCTCTAGGGGGAATATCACGATAAACATTATTGTTCCATTGTGGTAGTTGGTGGCTTGCTCGCCTTGGGTTCGCAGTACTCACTGTTACGCTGCGTTACGTCAGCTGCCAGTGCTTTCATTCGTACAATACAATAGCGGTCGGCATCCCAGCAAAACCTTCCGGGACTGTGTATATTTATTTATAACTCGACCTAACCGGCAAAGCGTAAAGTTTGCGGGGGCTTCCGGAAATGCCGGAGGTTGTGTGTCTGGAGAGTTTTTCCTAGCGAGTGGATATCGTATTGCGGTTTGGACCGATGGCTTGACTCACTTGGGGCTCTTTCGGTTCCGTATGATGCGGCGTGGTGGTGACTTTGCTACTGGGCCGGTGGGTACCGGTAGTAACACTTTCGGATCCTAGAATAGTAACATTGTGGTTGGTGCCGGAGTGGGGAGTGCTAGTACAAGTAGACTGGGTTACTGGTGCACTGTAAGATCTCGGATGATTGGACTGTGTGCTATGTACATAGTACGGTACCGTACTCGAGTACGAGGTACCGTAGTTCGAGTTGCCTCCTGTGGTTAGTTATGTCTACCGTAGTGTGATAATCTTTTTCCTTTCTTTCTTTGTCTCTCAGAGAGGAGCTGAGCGACACACAACCTTCCGATGTGTTTTTTCGCTTCCCCCCCCAGAGAAGGAAGGTTTGGACCTACCTGCGTCTTTGGTGGCACATGGTCTAATTATTTGGGCTTCTACGGTACCACGGTATATCTCTCGTTTTTTTATTTTTACTTTTTACTTTTTTTATTTTTTGAGAAGGTGGGGCACATCGACAGCATGGAAAATGTGTTTGAATATCACCGCGTGCAATGAATGACACGACACCCGCCAGCGAATCTTCACCTAGATTGGCTCCGTATCCCCTAACCCACTAAGGCGAGGACATTACCGCCATCTCAGTGGTGCACTTATTGATTAGTCGGGGAGAGAGAGAGCCCCGATGGCCGTCCCCCCCCCCCCGACGATAATTGCACCCCGATCCTCGCGAACAGGGAGTAATGATACCAGTTAGGACCAGCCGACCAGCCGACCATCGCCTTAAAAAAAAGGAAACACACAAAAAAGTACGATATCTATTCTAGGAAACCTCGAGTTACCATGATACTGTATTATCCCCTATGATACCGGTAGCAACCGTGCCCCGCCCCGGATTTTGAGAAATGGCCTGAACAGCACTTTGTATTATGAACCGCGGAATGCCGCGATTGGTCATTCCGTCACTTGAGCATAGTATCGACAGCCGGGACTTTCCTTTTTTTTCTTTCTCTCTCTCTCCCAACCGGCCCGGTAGGGTCGGTTGACCAATTGACCCCCCCCCCGTCAGTTAGTATGGTGGTTCTCCCCCCGATTAGGTTCCGGTACGGTGCGTTGGGGTTGGGTGTGCAGTGCTCGTACTGTACAGTAGGCACACCCTCCCCGAACCGGGCTCTTCAGAACTTAATAATAGCTACCGTATCACGTGGCGGTGAGCAAGGCCGAAACCTACAAGTATCATGCCATGACTTTGGTGAGCGATACCGTTAGTCATCGGATACCGGTACCATACTTGCGCCCGATATCGTGATCAGTTACTTTCTCATATCGTGCCTCGTCGGTGGATGTGATACCATTCCTACCCCCACCTCCCCGTCTCGGTCCTCGGGCATGCCTGAACTTCCCTTCCGCATTCCACTACCCCTCATCCTCGCCCCCCCCGCTCCCACGAACCCGCCGGTAAATCCCCCTAACCCACCCACCCGACTTTGGAATCGATTCTATCATAGCTTCTCACTCAACTATCCCTACCACGTCCTCCCGCTGTCCTATGCAGTGTGATACACAACTCGTGACGTCCGGCATATAATGCAAGACTGTCGGACTCAAGTCTCTGAACCTCACGACCGGGAATTCCCATATAGTAGTCAATCTCAAAGGAGGAAGGGAAAAAAAAAGGAGGTTGTTTAAATAGCGGATGGTCCATCTTGATATGACATCTCGATCGGCCAAAGGGATAACAAATCCCGTCGAAAGTATACTACTTTCCCGCCGGAAACACCCAGGCCGGAAGGTAAATATCTATCTGCTCGTCACAATGACTGAGTGGGTACAGTACGGTACCGGGTGTCGAACCGGATCGCGGTCCTATCATGGAGTGAAAACGTGACCGTAATGTACTGTTATACTTGGGAAAACTGACGACTTGGTTCCAGGATCTCGAGATTGTTCATGGTGGATTGCAGGACTAGGACTGCTCGCTGGTTCTTGTTATATCCTGCGGGGTGGTGACTACCCCTTGGTGGAATTTGTGGTTACGAAAGGGTTCAATTTAGGTGTCACGGGAGCGGCGGGGCGTGAAGTATACTCGCGGGCTTTCGGGGTGTATTCGTTTTTGCTGGATGAAGCGTACTAGTGGTGAAGTCGTCTGCTCTGTTGAGGGATTGGTCCTCGTAGGTGGTCGGCCCGTGCCCGGGCATCACCTAGGACTGGGCCGGACTGAAGATAGTCTGCTGATATAAAGTGTGGTCGGGCTAGGACGGGTAAAAAATTAAGTCCTGCATCGGTTTTATAGGGTGGCTATTTCTAAAGCATGCCGGTATGTAGTCTTTGCGCTTGCCTGGCGGCACTAGCGGCCGTTCGGGGTATGCTGTGTGATCGGTATGGTACAGTAAATGTTTCGCCGATTGGTAGAAGATCCGCTTTGGATGTGCTCAGGTATTATATCTTCGGGTGCTTGTGGATATCCCGGGATACCCACAAATATCTTCTGATTCCCGCAGTTATCTTCAACTGCCTACCTACCTACCTACCTACCTACCTAACGATATCTTCTCCCGATTAATGCTGGATACAAAAGAGAGATGAAAAGCATCCCGGCAGGTTGGATGGATTGATTGGGAGCAGTGAAGGAGGTGCGGAACAAGCCACCCGCCACCGATATATTCCTAACATGCCGACAAATTACGGGCATTTTGACGATAACTTCCGCGGTCGGGTTACTCTCTTTGTTTTTCCACTAGGTCAATTTCGATACAAATCTCAAAACCCATATCATAAAACCCTCACTTGCCCCATCGACCGTAACAGAGCCCCGAAAGGGAACCAATTTCCCGCGGGGCGAGTCTACAAGAGAATTTGCTCACACTCATGCAAGGCTAGAAACTCACAGAATCAGACTGCAGAGTATATTATGAAAGGCGAGACAGTTCCCTGAATTTAGTGCGAAGGTTCGAGCTCATTGGTAGGTCCCGGAGAGTTAAAGAGCAGCTAGTTCACGAAAAATCACTCATCGCTGCGGGAAACAAGTGAATTCATTCCATCAGGGAAATAATGGGAAAACGCATTTTGAGCTTTCCAACCAGACAATCCTCTCATTTTTCATCCTCTAACAGGAGCCAACACCCTTGCACCCAGTATCGCGCTTGACGCCATTGAGCTGATAACAACCCTAGTATACAATATATAGACTTGCAACGTGGAGGGGAAAGGCAGCGGGTGTGTTGCTCTCGGAACTTCTGCAAGACTTTGGTGATAAAGGATTTCGCTGGCGGGTTGTCCGGAGGTTCAATCTCCCAAGCAAGGTCCGAAACGGGTGAGAGATCATTTCCGAACAACACCAACACCACAACAACCGAAGAGCAGAAGTGCTCATCCTCGGGGGTTCAGTCCTACCAATCGGATACCTACTATCCTAGCCCCCTCATTTGCGCATTCGTAGTGGGTCTCCACATTGAATGCTTTTTTTGTTCCATAAAGGGGGAAGAGATGGGGTGGAAATTGGCAGTTTACTTGTCGCGCAGTGAGTGGATGTTCCGCGCTGATGGTGGGAAAAAAATGTCAGCGTGGGCTAGGTCTTTGCTTGGCGGAAAGGGCGCAATTGCTTTCGTGATTTCCGTTGCGTGTGAAAATCTCTATGAAACTTTCCTTGCCCTTTTATTATTCGTTTTCCCTGAAAAAAAAAACCCAGAGATTGAATTTTACGCACAATTGTTTGTGAAACTAATATAGCGAAATCGTTGTACACGGTCAGTGGAATGGCGTCCTCCTCCTTGTAGAATGGTTCTCCGAGCACTATTCGCCCTGGTGATCCCGCATTGTGAACTGCATTTCCTTCGTTTTGGTCCTGATTGTTGAGTTGGATATAACCATTTAGGCGAGGATATCAGTGCTCAATTTCACACTCCTGATATTCAACAAGTTCGCCTCCAAGCGGTCGTTTAACAACATAGTCATATAGTGCAGAGGGTGTTGAAGCGTGCACCCGCGTTCTATCCGATCCATGCCACCATACACACATGCCCCCCAAAATTCCCCCAAAATCAGGGCAATCATGCACGGTCACTCGTGTGTTTGTAATTTTGTGCAGTGAGGGAGGGAAGGCGAAAAGAGCTTTGATTGCCTACTGCACCGGGTTCCA